CTCTCTCTCTCTCTCTCTCTCTCTCTCTCTCAAATTTCTGGGGTCTTACTCTAGTGCCTCAGTTGTTGTACACGCCCAGTTAAGTCTGTTGCTGATGAGCAGAGGAAGTACATTGGATTATCTCTGGGTCAATTTTTAAGGACCCATAACTGTTTATATGTTCAGTGTGAGTCCCTGACATAGTGAGCTTTTGTTTTTATGCCTTTGAGGGAGCTTCCAGAAAGCACTCTGGCCACTGGCGTGAGCCTGTGTTCACAGTCGTGCTCTGACTGGACGGCGCCTCCTTCCTCCTGTAGGTCATCACCCCGTGCCGGAAGCTGATCCTCTGTGCGGACAACAGAAAGGAGATGGAGGACTGGATCGCGGCCCTGAAGACCGTCCAGAACCGGGAGCACTTTGAGGTTGTAGGGCGCCTTCCTCCGCAGAGCCACAGTTTTGGAGCTCGTCCTCAGCGCGTTCCCTGTAAACTCCCGGCTTGGTGCTTGTGCTCGAGGCATCATGTCAGACGACAGCCCCGTCCCTCGTAAACCGCCCTCCTCTGTCCTCTCGTGTGTCCTTCCGACCCTGTCCGGGTGCCGCATCACAGGGACTGACCCCAGCGTGTCTCCTCGCAGCCCACGCAGTACAGCATGGACCACTTCTCAGGGATGCACAACTGGTACGCCTGCTCGCACGCGCGGCCCACCTACTGCAACGTGTGTCGCGAGGCTCTGTCTGGCGTCACGTCCCACGGGCTGTCCTGTGAAGGTACGAATGACGTCTTTGTTGTCCTGATGGGAGAGGAGGCCTGAGGTTTTGCTTGTTAAATAAAGCCTGGGCCATCTAAACACAGTCACCATGAATGAGCTGTCCACCCGTCAGTCGGTCCAGGGTCGAGCGATTTCTGCGACTCTTCTTGGCTGTTTACCTGCTGAGGAGTCCTGGAGATCCTTGCGTAGTGCGTGAACACCATGGCGGGAAGCCGGGTGGCAGGAAGGGAAGCAGAGGAAGCATGGCGGACACAGAGGGCAGGCACCTTGAAGACACCTGCACGGGCCAGCCAGTGGAGGCCTGGTGGTTGAGGTGGGCAGGTCCCACGTGGCCAACTGTGTGGTCTGAGTCCAGACCCACTGGCTTGGGAAACAGTGGCAGTCTCATGCACACATGTGCCCAGGATCCCAAAAGGAGGGAAAAGATGGAAGAGAGGGATTATGGAGTGACCATGCCCCGGCCGGGGTGCTTTCTCACCCTTTCTGGGGAGCACACACGCCCTCTGGGAAAGATTACACAGACCCGAGGAGCCCAGTTTGGTTACGGTGCCTGTCTGGGCGAGGCTGGAGACGTGGGGTCTTTCGGGGCTGTGGCCTGGGCAGGAGCAAAGGGCTAGAGCTGGTCCCTTCCCCGCTCCGTTGGATTCCGCCTCTGCCTGTTGGTCTGCAGCTTGTGAGCCTCCGACTCGTTTTTACGTGGTTGTAAACAAATGAGCAGGATAGCATTTCACGACTTGAGAAGCATTTGGAGTTCAGGTTCCATGTCGGCGGGAAGGCAGCGTCCTAGCTACTTGTGCCATGGCGGCAGTCGGGTAGTACTGGCGGGTGCAGCGGGGCGGTGGGGCCCAGCACCA